TAATTTAAAATTTTTATTGCTGGTAATATATTTTCCAAAAATGTATTGTGGTAATAATGTATAGCTGGTAATAATTTTTTCTTCAAAAATTTTTGTTACCAGTGATAATAATACTTTCACTCACTCCTATAAATAAAAGTAGAAAGAAAATTTAGTGTTGTATGTCAGAAGTGATTTTAATGAAATAAAATCTTCCCCTCCGCAGTAAAAATGAATACAAATATACGAATAAACCTTGAATATGAAAATCTGAGATGATTCTTAAATTATTACACTATTTTTTAATAACTTCTTTTGTTGTTATCACATTTATATTATAACCCTAGCCATTCTGCGGGAAAACGAATTGAAAAAAAATTATCATTCAGGTAACTGCTTATCAGTAACTGTTGTCTTTCTGTCGTTGTCTCTTTCGACTTATCCCATGTTGTAGCTGTTGACTATTAAGTAACAATTAAAACTTGAAGTTATATCGAGATTCTGAAATTAAGTAATTTTATTATTACTAATATTTTCATTGGTTTTAGTCGAGTCTATGGATAGTAGTAGGAATCATCGTCGTAGTAGCAGAAGTAGCACTTGAAAGAAATTCTAAAACTAATGATGACTTAAAATGTGTAATGTCATGTGTACGTTTCTTTATATGTCTTTAGGAAATTCATTGGTTCTTGTAACCTTCAATACTTTGACGTCAATTATTTTACATCTAATTTAAAACAAAACCAGTTTTTTAACCAGTACCAAACGTCCCCGTATTAATACGTAACTGGATTAACGTTACTAATATTTTAAATTCTATTTAATCAAAAAGATTTGCTACTGCACAAAATATCAAATACAGACGGACTCTGTTAATAGTAACAAACAATTTTCTGATATTCAGTACTTTTTATTTAAAATATTAGTGTAGGTATATTATTCTATAGCACACTTAAATAACTGAAAATTTCGTGTGATTATGTACACAAATATATTATATACGTGGCTGAAGATAAGCCATTGGATTTTTGTCGACGAGCATGCCTCATTCATATATTCATTGCATTTGTCAGTATTGTATGAGATTATTTTTCAGGCATGGACTAGGAACATTGAAAAAATAAATATTCACTTCTAGTTGATTACAATTGGATCGGTACGTTTAGCACAGATAGTGCAATCAAGTTCCTATTTGAGACTTACAAAAGGGAGAATATATTTTATCTTTGACTATGTATGAAACGCAATGTTTGTTCAATTTTACATCACTCAATTCAACAAAACGTGATAATCGTAGACGATTTCCTTCTATGATATTTCTATATTGTTGAGAAGAATTAACTTTTGAATAACTTTTTAAAATTATATCATTGTATTATCACCGACGGAGTTTGATGAAAATTATAATATTCAGTGAGTGCTGACAGTAAGAGAATAGTTAGTGAGAGGATATATAACTGGCTCAAAAAAATTTCAAAGATGTCTCGAGTATGTACAATAGAAACCTTCGTTTAAATTGGTCACGATAATATTAGTGCTTTGGTTCCTAGTTTTGTTTCATATTTTTTTCAGTTTGTACCTTTATTTCATACTTAGTAATATCTAAATGAAAAGAACTGGGATTTATCAAAATTCGTTCATATCATGATGAGGTACTAGGTTCGATATCTGCTACTAACGATTTCTGCGTGTTGATTATGGAAACCAGTGGCCATTTTGGCGTATGATTATCATGCAGCTGCGGGAGTGATGAAAAGATACACAACTGCTGAAATTCAATTTAAATACACATGAAAAATTATTTATTAATAGGTTCTACACATTAATATTGTTCAAATAGAAAAGCATTCCGAAAGTCAATTTTTTATTAATGAAAAAGTCTAACAGCAAATAAGTCTTGATCGATAGGGGCAATAAAAGAAGTATAAATACAAACTAATGATAATTGTATACTACTTTTTCTTGAAGGCATCAGCTTCTAAGGAACACTGTTTCAAACTTACAAATTATCCTTGATAAAGATACTTAGTAGTTTGCGATATAAAAATATTTGTTCTTCAAATTAAGCAAAATAATGCTTTCAGGTGTTTAATGTTTAGATGACACTTGTACATAAATAATCCAAAACCTACAAATATATACATGAAAGTAACTCATAATTATTTTTCTCACACATATGTGTTATTGAATAATTATTTAAAATTGTATTTTTCCGGGGAATTAGCTTTCGGAAGTTCCAAACAATTGACGAGCAAAGTTTTAATTCATTAGAAATTCTGTCAAATTTAATGTAAATATTACTCAGCAACTAAAAATTAAATAACTAATTTCTTCTCGAAACTCATGCCTATTTTACAGTTGGACTGACAAGCTTATTAGTTCATTTAAATTATACTTTTTAAAGTAAGTTATGCATACATGCATAATTAATTAATATAATCTTCCAGCTTTTTATAAGTCATAAAAGAAATTAATTGATGCCGCTGAAGAAAAATATTCAAAAATTAATTCTGAGTCATTGGTATACGCATAACCATTTACACACGCGGTAGCACACACACACACACACACACACACACACACACACACACACATATATATATATATATATATATATATATATACAAATGAATGGAAATTGTCACAAAATATCGATTATTTATTTATTGGTTATTTACCATATAACATGGAATAAGAAAGTCTTAGTAAGTCGAAACCCTTAAAAAATCCCGTATGATCAATTATTAACATTCATTTCAGCATTTATATAATGAAAAGAAAATTATTCGGAATAATAATAATAAGAAGAAGAAGAATGAAGAGAAGAGAATTACGAAAATAAACATTACTGGGTAGTAATAGTGATCCAACGAAAATTGTGTAAATATCTAGAATTTGTCGAGAAAACAAATGAAATATGAAACAAACAAACAAAAAAGAAAACCAGAAACTGTTCTAAAAATTTAAATATCTATGACACTCAAATTTAAATTTCTATGACACTCAAATTTAAATTTCTATGACACTCAAATTTAAATTTCTATGACACTCAAATTTAAATTTCTATGACACTCTGAGTGTCATAAAAACTTAAATTTTTAGGACAGTTCCTGGTTTTCTTTTTTGTTTGTTTCATATTTCATTTGATTCAAACAAATCATACAGACATGGGAAATAGATTTTATGGGATTTTTCAAATCTGAACAAGAGAGGAATTTAAAAGTTTAGGTCCAATAATACGAGTACCGATGCCTGTGCATAAAGCAGCAGGCATACCTGAAAAGAAAATTGAAAGAAAGCGGACTCGTCAGCGTTGAGGATTATACTGGTTCTGTTATCAGATTTCTTGATTCATAAGGATTAGTAATGAGAAATTATGATAGGCAAAATTTGCAGTAGAACTGACTGAAGGAGAAATCGTTTATTCATATAATTCCAAAATGAGATCAAAACAACTTCATCGGCATTTCAAAAGACAAACAAAAAGAATTCCAAATAAGATGATGTAGATAAATATTTTCAATGACAAAACACTAGAAGTTGGTTAGGATGAGAACTTTTCAGCATATCCTTTCTTTAAATGTTACCCAAAAGAAATACGAAAAACTATAGGATGTTAGCGTTTTACAACTTTACTTTTACTATTTAATGGGAATTCTAAGTTCAGTGTCCGAGAGTAACTAACTTTTTTTCGTATATCTTTGCCGGTGTATTACAGATGCATCTTTGCAATGGAATGAGGCGTAAAGAATGTGCAATTGCAGCCTTCGCGAACATAAACTAGGCAGATTTTTCCATGAAATGTAAAATTCGAATTAAGTAAACTCTCCTTACTTGGAGGATGGGTGCATCCTTTACTATTTCTTCTTTTGCTATGACAAACTTAGTAATACTAAGAAGAGATATGATAGAAAGAAAAAGAAAGCAAAAGGAAGAGAAAGAAAAAGGAATAGCTAAAAAAAAAGGTAATTTTACGTGTGGCATCAACTTTGAGGTTATGCGTCAAAAGTATAATTTATGTGTAAACGCCGATCAACATATTTCTCTCATATCTTTGTTTTTAGTAAGTGAAAAATCGTCTTAAGCTGTAGAATTAGATTTCTACATTCTCTGTTTTAAACGTGTTAAAAGAGGATGACAGCTAAGTATTCTCAGTTTGTGTTGAATCCATTAAAATCGGCTTCAGAGTTCAGTACGAAACAATGTTTTCTGATTGGTCCATAAATAATAATGTAATGTTTCTGCCTACGTCCGCACGGTTGACCTCGAGTTGACCTGTTCATAGTACAACACGCCAAAAAAAAAAAAAAAAAATGTTAACATGTTCTCGAGGTCCCACGTGATCGAGAAAATTCATAAATATGAAACTTGGACACGACTTAATCAGTTTTTAAAATAATCAACTCGTCACATGAATCCATGAAACCCAACTTCCTCGCTAAAAGTTATTTTTTATTAACATCAACCAGGCTTAGGGAATTCAGTTTCTTTTCAAGGTCAATTCATCTAGTGACCAATTCAACCAAGACGAGATTTAGAAACCAACTCACTCAATATCTTAACAACATAAAGGAAATCGTAACTATATCAGTCGAAGCGAGACAACTCTACAGTAAGTCAAGCAATCTATTTCATTCAATTTTACCATCAACATAAACTGTTTAATTCCTTACCAGATTTATAACAGAACACCTATATTAACCTTGATCACACAACCAAAAACAACTTTATTTTATCATGTGTACTTGTTATATAAAAATATTTTCTGTTAAAACAAATATCTGCCTATTTGTTTATTTCTCTTCTTGTTGTTTTTGTTGCATTTGATTTTAGTAAAAATAGTAGGGGTGGTCAGTTTAATTTGTATTTTCTCACCGATACAGATTGACTAACCCACTACAAAGCCTTTAGTTTACATGAAGTGTTTTCTTTATCAGTGTTGGAATTTAATTTGAGAACAATATTTTACAAGTTCACATTCTCGTTATTTTTTTCTATCCTCACTCCAACCTCTCTTTTTACTTTCAAAACTGGCTCCCAAAGCCTTGATTCTTATCAGAGATAAGAATATATTTTCTGACTAACAAGAGAGCTGGCAAATATAAAAAGGAATTCTACCACCATTATTCTTTCCATGGTACCATAAAGTCTGGGGGAAACCTCACAGCTTGTTCACTCCAACCTGTTTTGATTACTTGCAAAACCGCCTCCCAGAGTCTTGATTCTTATCAGAGATAATAATTTTCTGCCCAATGAAGGGGCCAGAAAATTTGTTTAACAATTTGGAGGGAAAAGTCCCCGATTCTTCTGAGCCTACCAAATCTCCATAAATTTGGAGAAACTTTGTCTATTTGGCAGTGAGACTTCAGCCCACCGTCTGTAAGGTCGACGATAGGGAGCTCCAGTCAACTTCAGAACCACTTTCAATCAAAGAAGAAATTCCTGCCGGGTTGGAGAGACAGACCGTTAGCCCCACTACTAAAAACCAATTGAAAGCTGCATCCCTTCACCACCCCTCCTGTCGTGCCCACAAGACTTCTGTCGTCGACCTACGAACTCACTCAACTGCAAGATTTCTATATCTACCAACAATTTTCTACTCTGCAAGAACTGGGAGTTTTATCTAAACCTTAACAAAATTCTACTCAGAGAAATATTTTGAGCAACCCTTTTTTCTGTTATAAACATTTTCTCTTCCCTTAAAGGACATTTTCTCTTTTCCCTTTCTTTCACTCCTAATTGTCTTTATCCCTTTGCCCTTTTTTTTCTGTATATGTCAATAAACACTTTCTTCTTTTATTGTTACACACCGAGCAGGAGTTTTTTTCTTTATTCTTCCACGCCTAAAAGAGAGAGTTTGTCTGCTCTAATCTTGCTGTTTTTTACTCGCGTTTTATCGCAACTTTTTAACCTAAACCCTTTGATGCAGGAAAGCCGGCACAAACGTTCCCCGCACCAGGATGTAAGTAATTAACCATTTCTTTTCCGCAACATTTACGGAGCGTGCATCAAATAAAATCGATGTTTGTTTCGATGCTTGTTTGTCAAGGCTATTTTCTGCTTTCTGCAATAAGGTTTCCTAACAACATGGGGGACTGACATTTCAAATGTATCTACATCCAATTCAACACCTTTTTGTAAAGCATTAATTTTAAGTGAAAATATTTGTTTCTTTTAAAGAATGTGAATTTTTACCAAAATTATGTTTGGTGCAATAAACATGAAGATACGTATAGATTACTAATTTTCATACTTATTCCTGCCGAAGCGGAATTTTTTTTTAAGTTAAAATCTTCATCTGTACCATGAATCCTATTGTTATATTCTGTAATTTCAAAACTAATTAGCTGTTAGCTTCAATCTTTATAAAGACTTTTTTTAGTTTTTAATAAGTCTACCACGTGTGCAAAGATGTATGGGGGAAAGCGGGAAGTAAGGAGTCAACTTGCTTGATTCCTTTTAATTGTTGAAGTCGACTATCTTAGAAAAAATAAACTTTTGATTTCTAATTAAGCAAAAGATCTTTATCAATTGAAGACCGTCTAATTTATATAAAATATATGATTGCCCCGTAGAGAGTTCGAGATAGATAGAGATGATAAAAAGCAAAATTATTAATATATCGCATATAAAAGTGTAATTTATTTCCTGTCGTCATTTCTTACTGGTCACATCGTTATTCACTGCATCGACTATCAGTGTAGTGGATTTAACACCTTTTCTAATAAAGCATTTCTTACCAGATACTGAGCCACAGCTGTTAACCTTTTCAGTGAAGGTAAATATACCCACCGAGAGATTGATTAATTGATTAGTTTCCTTCTCTGATCAATATCGCCTTTTGTAAATTTTTGTTTTTGCGTTTCTTTTAACAAATTTCATAAATCTAAAATTACGCCATTCCAATGTGAAATGTTTGAATGGTTTTTGTAATTTATTTACAGGTGAACAAGGAAAATTAGGCAGTAACTTTACAATGAAGAAATTGTTTAAGTCAAAGTCTTTCAGAGCAACTCTCTTATAATTTAGGTCAACTTCTCGAGAAAGTGAAAGTTTACGTGAGTTGATCATTAAAGAACAACAGAATGCAGTGTCAACAAAAAGGCGAGGATTTAGGTCAAACACGGTTGACATTTCAGCTCTGGCAAATAATATATCATGAGAACACAGTACAAAGCTACATTAGATTCAGGCGACACACTTTAAAGAAATTTTATAAACCACTGCTTTAATACGATACGGTGAGCCTGCGTACAAAAGTATAATTTAAGTGTAAATGCCGTAGAAAAATAAAAAAAAGTTCACTATTTAAAAAATAACAAAATAGAAAGCTAAAAGTTAGCTAACCATTTTTGTTTGCCATAAAGAAATAAAAACAAAAAGATAAGGAAAAAAATAAATAAAAAAAAAGTGATCAAGAGGTTATCATTCCTAAATGTAGGTGAAGAAAAAGGGATTGTCATTTCTGTGAACCAGTCAAAATCAAACAATAGGGGAATGAATATCTTTGTCTGAAGAAAAATGTAAACAGGTAGTAACGAGCAAACAAAAGAAGCAGCCACTGAAAGAATTTTATCTGCTGTCCCATTCCCTAAAGCTTCGGACACCTAAAAATCCCACAGAGAGAGTCAAAAGGATTACTGCTATCAAGAAATACTTACATACATATACATTTTATAAGGACTCTGCTCTCTCTCACTTTATTATATACTATACTGTACTTTTAACACAAGAATTTTCTTATAGGAACTGATGAAAACTTTGAATATTGTATATTTTATTTTAAGAGATATAAATTTTTATCAGTACATGGAATATATATCTTTGTATTAATTATCTTTGCATGCATTTTTAAAAGGCCATACATTGTTGTATATTTGGATTATGTACATTATCCGAAGATAACCACCTGTAAACAAGTAAACCTCTATTTTGGTAGCATTACAAACCTAGAGATCTCCACATAGTAAGTATCATTCCTAATATAAGGTCAAAAAACAGAAACAAAGGATAATTGGAATACTGTTACTACCATTGCGTCTTCTTCTTCTTCTTCTTCTTCTTCTTCTTCTTCTTCTTCTTCTTCTTCTTCTTCTTCTAATAATAATAATAATAATAATAATAATAATAATAATACAAATGAACAGAAAACATGTAGAATATGATGGTGGTAGTTGTGTCCATCGTTATTTGAGCACTGAAAAAAAATTGAAGAATCTTTCAAAACATTTAGGGAAACAAGAAGTAGGAAAAATCGATACTATCAAACTGAAAAGAAAATAACGAATTATTGAGAGAACTTGTTCTTGCTTGTATCCCAATGTAAATCATTACACTTACTAGTTGTGTGAACGCTCAATGAATATGGGAAAATTGTTGGATTGATTTGTTATTTTAGAGCTTATCAACATTATGTGGATTATTCAAAGCCGAAATAGGTTTCAGAATGTTGGAAGTGGCTCACTCTAACCAATTTTCCAAAAATGTCTCTCATCTAAGTAGTGACTCGGTTTGATGTCGCTTAACTTGAAAATGTGAAAATCTGGTGCAAGGAAAAAATATATTTCCGAAATCAACATATTTATTCAGACAAAATAAAATTCTCTTTATTAATTCTCAAAGTTCTTTCCGCCCAAAGTTATTTCTGCCCAAACTTCTTTCTGCCCAAACTTCTTTCCGCCCAAGGTTCTTTCTGTCCAAAGTTCTTACCGCCCAAACTTCTTTGTGCCCAAACTTCTTTCCGTCCAAAATTCTTTCTGCCCAAACTTCTTTCCGCCCAAAGTTGTTTCGGCCAAAAGTTGTTTCCGCCCAAACTTCTTTGCGCCCAAATTTCTTTCTGCCCAAAGTTCTTTCCGCCCAAACTTCTTTCCGCCCAAACTTTTTCCGCCCAAAGTTGTTCTCTCGACCCAAACTTCTTTCCGGCCAAAGTTCTTTCTGCCCAAATTTCTCTAGACACAAACTTCTTTCCGGCCAAAGTACTTTCTGCCCAAACTTCTATGCACCCAAACTTCTTTCTGCCCAAACTTCTTTCAGCACAAATTTCTTTCTGTCCAAAGTTATTTCTGTCCAAACTAATTTCTGCCCAAACTTCTTTCTGCCCAAACTTTTTCCGCCCAAAGTTGTTTCTGTCCAAAGTTGTTTCGGCCCAAACTTCTTTCTGTCCAAACTTCATCCGGCCAAAGTTGTTTCGGCCTAAACTTTTTTCCGACCAAAGTTCTTTCTGTCCAAAGTTCTTTCTCCCCGAAATTCTTTCTGCCCAAAATTATTTCTGCCAAAATTTCTTTCCGCCAAAAGGTCTTTCCGCCCAAACCTCGTTCTGCCCAAAGTTTTTCCGCCAAAAATTATTTCCGCCCAAACTTTTTTCCGCCCAAAGTTGTTTCCACCCAAACTTCTTTCCGCCCAAACTTCTTTCTGCCCACACTTCTTTCCGCCCAAAGTTGTTTCCGTCCAAAGTTGTTTCGGCCTAAACTTTTTTCCGCCCAAAGTTCTTTCTGCCCAAAGTTCTTTCCACGCAAAGTTGTTTCCGCCCAAACTTCTTTCCGCCCAAACTTCTTTCTGTCCAAAGTTTTTTCTGTCCAAACTTCTTTCTGCCCGAAATTCTTTCTGCCCAAAATTATTTCTGCCAAAATTTCTTTCCGCCAAAAGGTCTTTTCGCCCAAACCTCGTTCTGCCCAAACTTCTTTCCGCCCAAAGTTTTTTGTGTCCAAAGTTCTTTCTGCCCAAAGTTCTTTCCGCCAAAACTTATTTCCGCCCAAACTTCTTTCCGCCCAAACTTCTTTCTGCCCAAACTTCTTTCCACCCAAAGTTTTTTCTGCCCAAAATTCGTTCTGCCCAAACTTCTTTCCGCTCAAAGTTCTTTCTATCCAAAGTTCTTTCTTCCCAAAGTTATTTCCGCCCAAACTTCTTTCTGCCCAAAATTATTTCCGCCCAAAGTTGCGTCTGTCCAAAATTATTTCTGCCCAAAGTTCCTTCCGCCCAAAGTTTTTTCTGTCCAAAGTTTTTTCTGCCCAAAGTTCTTTCCGCCCAAAGTTCTTTCTGTCCAAAGTTGTTTCAGCCCAAATTTCTTTCTGCCAAAACTTCTTTCCGCCCAAAGTTGTTTCCGCCCAAACTTTTTTCCGCCCACAGTTGTTTCTGCCCAAGGTTCGTTCCGCCCAAACTTCTTTCTTCCCAAAGTTCTTTCCGCCCAAAGTTATTTCTGTTCTTTCCACCAAACTTCTTTCTGCCCCAAACTTCTTTCTGTCCAAAGTTCTTTCTGCCCAAAGTTCTTTCTGCCCAAACTTCTTTCTGCCCAAATTTCTTTCTGTCAAAACTTCTTTCTGCCCAAACTTCTTTCTGCCCAAACTTCTTTCTGCCCAAAACTTCTTTCTGCTTTCCAAAGTTGTTTCTGTTCAAACATCTTTTCTTTCCACCAAACTTCTTTCTTCCCAAACTTTCTTTCCGACCAAAGTTGTTTCTCTCAAAGTTCTTTCCGACCAAACTTCTTTCCGCCCAAACTTCTTTCTCTGTCCAAAATGTTCTTTCTGTCCAAAAGTTCTTTCCTGCCAAACTTCTTTCTGCCCAAACTTCTTTCTGCCCAAACTTCTTTCCTAAAAGTTCTTTTCTGTCAAAACTTCTTTGCCCAAACCACTTTCTGCCCAAACTTCTTTCTGCCCAAACTTCTTTCCGTCTAAAGTTCTTTCTGCCCAAACTTTGTTTCTGCCCAAACTTCTTTCCGCCCAAAGTTCTTTCTTTTTGCTTTCTTTTCCCAAACTTCTTTCTGCCAAACTTCTTTCCGCCCAAACTTTTTCTGTCCAAACTTCTTTCTGCCCAAAACTTCTTTCTTTCCAAACTTCTTTCTGCCCAAACTTCTTTTTGCTTGTCCAAACTTCTTTTCCGCCCAAACTTTCTGCCCAAACTTCTTTCCATCAAAAGTTCTTCTGTCCAAAAGTTCCTTCTGCCCAAACTTCTTTCCCCAAACTTCTTTCTGCCCAAAACTTCTTTCGACCAAAGTTCTTTCTGTCCAAAGTGATTTCTGCCCAAACTTCTTTCCGCCCCAAATTTTTTCTGCCCAAAATTATTTCCGCCCAAAGTTATTTCTGTCCAAAGTTGTTTCTGCCCAAACTTCTTTCTGCCCAAACTTCTTTCCGCCCAAACTTGTTTCGGCCCAAACTACTTACTGTCCAAAATTTTTTCCGCCCAAAGTTCTTTCTATCCAAAGTTCTTTCTGCCCAAACTTCTTTCCGACCAAAGTTCTTTTCTGTCCAAAAGTTCTTTTTGCCCAAAGTTCTTTCTCCAAAACTTCTTTCTGTCCAAACTTCTTTCCGCCCAAACTTCTTTTTGATTCTTAAACTTCTTTTCTGCCCCAACTTCTTTCTGCCCAAAAGTTCTTTCTTAAAGTTCTTTCAAACCCAATTTCTTCTTTCTGCCCAAACTTCTTTCCGCCCAAACTTTTCTGCCCAAAGTTCTTTTTTCTAAGTTCTTTCCGTCCAAACTTCTTTCTTGCCAAACCTTTCTGTGTCAAACTTCTTTCTGCCCTGTCCAAGTTGTTTCTTTCAAACTTCTTTCTTCCCAAAGTCTTTTCTGCCCAAACTTCTTTCCGCCCAAAGTTCTTTCTGCCCAAACTTCTTTCTGCCCAAACTTCTTTCCGCCCAAAGTTCTTTCTGTCCAAAGTTCTTTCCGCCCAAACTTCTTTCTGCCCAAACTTCTTTCCCCAAAGTTCTTTCTGTCCAAAGTTCTTTCTCGCCCAAACTTCTTTCTGCCCAAACTTTCTTTTCCGTCCAAACTTCTTTTTCTGTCCAAACTTCTTCTTTTCCAAACTTCTTTCTGCCCCAAACTTTCTTTCCACCCAAAGTTCTTTCTGTCCAAAATTCTTTCTGCCCAAACTTCTTTCTGCCCAAACTTCTTTCCACCCAAACTTCTTTGTTTCTTTCTCCCACCCAAACTTCTTTCTGTCCAAAATTGTTTCCATCAAAGTTGTTTCTGTCCAAACTTCTTTCTGCCCAAACTTCTTTCCACCCAAACTTCTTTCTTTCTACCTAAACTTCTTTCTGCCCAAACTTCTTTCCTGTCAAACTTCTTTCTGGCCAAAAGTTCTTTCTGCCCAAACTTCTTTCCGCCCAAACTTCTTTTTTTCCTGCCCAAAGTTCTTTCTGCCCAAAGTTCTTTCCGCCCAAACTTTTTCTGTCCAAACTTTTTCTGCCCAAACTTCTTTCTTGTAAAAGTTTTTTCTGCCCAAACCTCTTTCTGCCCAAACTTCTTTCTGCCCAAACTTGTTTCTGTCCAAAGTTCTTTCTGTCCAAACTTCTTTTCTGTCCAAACTTCTTTCCGCCCAAACTTCTTTCTGTCCAAACTTCTTCTGCCAAACTTCTTTCCAAACTTCTTTCCCCAAAACATTCTTCTGCCCAAACTTCTTTCCTTCCTGCTACAAACTTCTTTCTGCCCAAACTTCTTTCTGCCTAAACTTTTCTGCCCCAAAGTTCTTTCTGTCCAAACTTCTTTCTGCCCAAACTTCTTTCCGCTTAAAGTTCTTTCTTCTAAACTTTTTTCTGCCAAAGTTCTTTCTGCCCAAAACTTCTTTGTGTCAAAGTTCTTTCTGCCCAAACTTCTTTCTGCCCAAAAATTCTTTCTGCCCAAAACCTTTTTTCTGTCCAAAATTCTTTCTGCCCAAAGTTCTTTCTGTCAAACGTCTTTCTGCCCAAACTTCTTTCTGCCCAAACTTCTTTCCCCAAATTTAAACTTCTTTGCAAATTTCTTTCCGCCTAAAATCTTTTTGTCCAAACTTCTTTCTGCCCAAACTTCTTTCCTTCAAATTTTTTCCCAAACTTCTTTCTGTCCAAACTTCTTTCCGCCCAAAAATTCTTTCTGCCCCAAAGTTCTTTCCGCCCAAAGTTCTTTCTGCCCAAACTTCTTTCCACCCAAACTTTCTTTCTGTCCAAACATCTTTCTGCCCCCAACTTCTTTCTGCCCAAAGTTCTTTCTGCCCAAACTTTTTCTGCCAAAACTTCTTTCTGCCCAAAGTTCTTTCCGCCCAAAGTTCTTTCCGCCCAAAGTTCTTTTTGCTCAAACTTCTTTCCACCCAAAATTCTTTCTGTCCAAAGTTGTTTCTGCCAAACTTCTTTCCGCTTTTTCTTTCCGCCCAAACTTCTTTCTGCCCAAACTTCTTTCCTTCCAAATTTCTTTCTGCCCTTTCTGTCTTTCTTTCTGTCAAAAGTTCTTTCTGTCCAAACTTCTTTCTGCCCAAATTTCTTTTCCGTTCTTTCTGTCCAAAGTTCTTTCTTCAAACCTTTCCTCCCAAACTTCTGTTCTGCCCAAACTTCTTTCCACCCAAATTTCTTTCTGTCCAAACTTCTTTCCGCCCAAACTTCTTTCTTTTCCCAAAGTTCTTTCCGCCCAAAGTTCTTTCTGTCAAACTTCTTTCTGTCCAAACTTCTTTCTGCCCAAAGTTCTTTCTGCCCAAACTTCTTTTAAAATTCTTTCCGTCCAAAATTCTTTCTTTCCGCCCAAATTTCTTTCTGCCAAACTTCTTTCTTCACCAAAAACATCTTTCCCAAAGTTGTTTTCCAAAGTTCTTTCACTTAAAACTTCTTTCTTTCCACTTCTTTCTGTCCAAACTTCTTTCTAAACTTGTTTCCACCCAAACATCTTTCTGTCCAAACTTCTTTCCGCCCAAACTTCTTTCCGCCCAAAGTTTTTCTGTCCAAATTTCTTTCTGCCAAACTTCTTTCCCAAAGTTCTTTCCTTCTCAAAGTTTTTTTCTTTTTTTTTTTTTCTTTCATTCCAAACTTCTTTCTTTCCAAAGTTCTTTCTGCCCAAACTTTTTTTCTCTGTCCAATTCTGTCCAAACATCTTTCCGCCCAAACTTCTTTTTTTTCTTTCCCCCAAAGTTTTTCTGTCCAAAGTTTTTTCCGCCCAAACATCTTTCTGCCCAAACTTCTTTCTGCTTCTTTTCTTTCATTCTAAACTTTTTTCTGCCCAAAATTTTTCTGCCCAAACTTCTTTCTGCCCAAAGTTCTTTTCTGTCCAAACTTCTTTCTGTTTTTTTCTTTCTGCCCAAACTTCTTTCCCCCAAACTTCTTTCTGTCAAAAGTTTTTCTGTCCAAAGTTCTTTTTTTTCTGCCCAAAATTTTTTTCCGCCCAAACTTCTTTCTTTCTTTCCATTCAAAGTTCTTTCCTTCTTTCCAAAATTGTTTCCATCCAAACATTTCTTTCTGCCCAAACTTCTTTCTTTCAAAAAGTTCTTTCTGCCCAAAGTTCTTTCTTTGCCCAATTTCTTTCCCAAACTTTTTTTCTTTCTGCCCAAATTTTTCCGCCCAAACTTCTTTCTGCCCAAACTTCTTTCTTCTTCTTTCTTTTTTCAAAGTTCCAAACACGTTCTTTCCTTTTAAAGTTCTTTCTTTCTTTGTTTCCCATTTCTTTTCTGCCCAAACTTCTTTCTGCCCAAACTTCTCTTCCATTTTCTTTTTCTGTCCAAAGTTCTTTCTGCCCAAACTTCTTTCTGCCCAAACTTCTTTCCGCCAAAAGTTCTTTCTGTCAAACTTCTTTCTGTCCAAACATCTTTCTGCCCAAACTTCTTTCTGCCCAAACTTCTTTCTGCCCAAAGTTCTTTCTGCTAAAACTTCTTTCAAAGTTCTTTCTGCCCAAACTTCTTTCTGCCCAAAGTTCTTTTGCCCAAACTTTTTCTGACAAACTTCTTCCTGCCCAAAGTTCTTTCTGTCCAAAGTTCTTTCTCGCCAAACTTCTTTCTGCCCAAACTTCTTTCTGACCAAACTTCTTTCTTCAAAGTTGTTTCTGCCAAACTTCTTTCCGCCCAAACTTCTTTCTGTCCCAAACTTCTTTCCGCCCAAACTTTGTTTCTGTCCAAACTTTTTCTGCCCCCAAACTTCTTTCCCCAAACTTCTTTCTGCCCAAACTTCTTTTCTGCCCAAACTTCTTACCCAAACTTCTTTTTCACTTTCCTTAAAATTCTTTCTGTCCTAAACGTCTTTCTGTCAAACTTCTTTCTAACCAAAGTTGTTTCTGTAAAACTTCTTTCCACTTCTTTCTGTCCAAACTTCTTTCTGCCCAAACTACTTTCTGCCCAAAGTTCATGTTCTGTCCAAAGTTCTTTCTGCCCAAACTTCTTTCCGCCCAAACTTTTTCTGCCCAAACTTCTTTCTGCCTTTCTGTCCAAAGTTGTTTTCTGTCAAAAGTTGTTTCTGCTTAAACTTCTTTCTGCCCAAACTTCTTTCTGCCCAAACTTCTTTCTTCCCAAACTTCTTTCTGCCCAAAGTCTTTTCTGTCCAAAGTTCTTTCCTACTGCTTCTTTCCGCCCAAACGTCTTTCTTTCTCTTTCAAAATTTTTTCCAAAAGTTCTTTCTGTCCAAACTTCTTTCTGTCCAAAGTTCTTTCTGTCCAAAGTTCTTTCTGCCCAAACGTCTTTCCTGCCAAAGTTCTTTCTGTCAAAACTTCTTTTGTCCTCCCTTTCTGAAATTTTTCTGTCCAAACTTCTTCTTTCTGCTTTCTGTCCAAACTTCTTTCTGCCCAAACTTCTTTCTGCCCAAACTTCTTTCTGCCCCAAAGTTTCTTTCCTGTCCAAAATTTTCTTTCTGCCCAAACTTCTTTCCGCCCAAACTTCTTTCTGCCAAAGTTCTTTCTGCCCAAAGTTCTTTCTGCCCAAACATTCTTTCACCCAAACTTCTTTCCGCCCAAACTTCTTTCTGTTTTTCTGCCCAAACATCTTTCTGCCCCAAACTTCTTTCTGCCCAAACTTCTTTCTGTCCAAAGTTTTTCTGCCCAAACTTCTTTCTGCCCAAAACTTCTTTCCTCCCAAACTTCTTTCTGTCCAAAGTTCTTTCAGTTTTCCCCAAAAATCTTTCTGCCCAAAAGTTCTTTCTGCCCAAACTTCTTTCCTCCCAAAGTTCTTTCTGTCCAAACTTCTTTCTGCCCAAACTTCTTTCCTCCCAAAGTTTCTTTCTGCCCAAACTTCTTTCCTCCAAAAAGTTCTTCCAAATTCTTTCCTTTCTTCTTTCTGCCAAACTTCTTTCTGCTAAAGTTCTTTCTGTCCAAAGTTCTTTCTGTCCAAAGTTCTTTCCGCCCAAACTTCTTTCTCCGCAAAAACTTTTCTGTCCAAACTTCTTTTCTGTCCAAAATTCTTTCTGTCCAAAGTTCTTTCTGCCCAAACTTCTTTCCTCCAAACTTCTTTCTGCCCAAACTTCTTTCCTGCCCAAACTTCTTTCTTTCCCCAATCTTCTTTCTGCCCAAAAGTCTTTCCGCCCAAAGTTCTTTCCGCCCAAACTTCTTTCTGCCCAAACTTCTTTCCGCCCAAAGTTCTTTCTGCCCAAACTTCTTTCCGCCCAAACTTCATTCCGCCCAAAGTTTTTTCCGTCAAACTTCTTTCTGCCCAAAGTTCTTTCTGTCTTTCCCGCAAAAGTTCTTTCTCCCAAAGTTCTTTCCGCTTAAACTTTTTTCTGCCCAAATTCTTTCTTTCTGTCTTTCCACCTAAACTTCTTTCTGCCCAAACTTCTTTCCGCCCAAACTTCTTTCTGTCACAACTTTTTCTGCCCAAACTGCTTTTTCTTTCTGTCCAACTTCTTTTCTGTCCAAACTTCTTTCCACCCAAATTCTTTCTGTCAAAGTTCTTTCCAAAACTTCTTTCCTTAAAGTCTTTCTTTCCAAACTTCTTTCCTCCCAAAAATTCTTTCTGTCCAAATTTCTTTCTGTCAAAGTTCTTTCTGCCCAAACTTCTTTCTGCCCCAAACTTCTTTCCGTTTCCAAAAGTTCTTTCTGTCAGCCCAAACTTCTTTCCACCCAAACTTCTTTCTGCCCAAAGTTCTTTCCTCTTTCCCAAACTTCTTTCTGCCCAAACTTCTTTCTGTCCAAAGTTCTTTCTTCTTTCCCAAACTTCTTTCCGCCCAAACTTCTTTCCGCCCAAACTTTCTTAAAATCCTTCCAAACTTCTTTCCGTCCAAACTTTTTTCTGCCCAAAAATTCTTTCTTTCTTTCTCCCAAACTTCTTTTTTCTTAAACTTCTTTTCTGCCCAAACTTTTCTGTCCAAACTTCTTTCTGTCCAAACGTCTTTCTGTCCAAACTTCTTTCTTTCCGCCCAAACTTCTTTCCATTTTCTTTCTGTCCAAAGTTCTTTCTGCCCAAACTTCTTTCTGTCCAAACTTCTTTCTGCCCAAACTTCTTTCTGCCAAAGTTCTTTCTGTCCAAACTTTCTCCGCCCAAACTTTCTTTCAAATGTTTTCAAAGTTCTTTCCATAAAACTTTCTTTCCAAACTTCTTTCTGCCCAAACTTCTTTCTGTCCAAAGTTCTTTCTGCCCAAAGTTGTTTCTGCCCAAACATTTTCTGCCCAAACTTCTTTCCTTAAACTTCTTTCTGTCCTAAGTTCTTTCTGTCCAAAACTTCTTTCCTTAAACTTCTTTCGCCCAAAATTCTTTCCCTCAAAGTTCTTTCTGTCCAAAGTTGTTTCCACCAAACTTCTTTCCGCCCAAACTTCATTCTCCCCAAACGTCTTTCCGCCCAAATGTTCTTTCTGTCCAAAGTTCTTTCCTTAAACTTCTTTCGTCTTCTTTCTGCCCAAACTTCTTTCCTCCCAAGTTCTTTCTGTCCTAATTTCTTTCTGTCCAAACTTCTTTCAGCCCAAACTTCTTTCTGCCCAAACTTCTTTCCATCCAAATTTCTTTCTGTCCAAGTTGTTTCCACCCAAACTTCTTTCTGCCCAAAGTTCATTCTGCCCAAACGTCTTTCCGCCAAAGTTCTTTCCGCCCAAACTTCTTTCCAAACTTCTTTCTGACCAAACTTTTTCCAAAAATTTTTCTGTCCAAAATTGTTTCTCCCAAACTTCTTTCTGCCCAAACTTCTTTCTGCCCAAACTTCTTTCTTCCCAAACTTCTATCTGTCCAAACGTTTTTTCTGTCCAAAGTTCTTTCTGTCCAAACTTCTTTCTGCCCAAACTTCTTTCCATTAAAGTTCTTTCTGTCCAAAACTTCTTTCCAAAACTTCTTTCTGTCCAAACTTCTTTCTGTCCAAACTTCTTTCTGTCCCAAACTTCTTTCTGTCAAAAATTTCCGTTTGTTTCCAAACTTCTTTCTGCCCAAACTTCTTTCTGTCCAAAGTTCTTTCTGCCCAAACTTCTTTCTGCCCAAAGTTGTTTCTGTCCAAACTTCTTTCTGCCCAAACTACTTTCTGCCCAAACTTCTTTCCGTCCAAACTTCTTTCTGCCCAAACTTCTTTCCGCCCAAACTTCTTTCCATCCAAAGTTGATTCTGCTCAAAGTTGTTTCTCCCAAACTTTTTTCTGCCCAAACTTCTTTCCGCCCAAAGTTTTTTCCACCTAAACTTCTTTCTGCCCAAACTTTCTGCCAAAACTTTTCTGTACCAAACTTCTTTCTGCCCAAACATAGTTTCTGCCCAAACTTCTTTCCATCCAAAGTTCTTTCTGTCCAAAGTTGTTTCCACCCAAACTTCATTACGCCCAAAGTTCATTCTCCCGAAACGTCTTTCCGCCCAATGTTCTTTCTGTCCAAAGTTCTTTCCGCCCAAACTTCTTTCGGCCCAATCTTCTTTCTGCCCAAACTTCTTTCCTCCCAAATTTCTTTCTGTCCTAATTTCTTTCTGTCCAAACTTCTTTCAGCCCAAACTTCTTTCTGCCCAAACTTCTTTCCTTAAATTTCTTTCTGTCCAAAGTTGTTTCCGCCCAAACTACTTTCTGCCCAAAGTTCATGCTGCCCAAACGTATTTCCGCCCAAAGTTCTTATTGTACAAAGTTCTTTCCGCCCAAACTTCTTTCGGCCCAAACTTTTTTCTGACCAAACTTTTTTCCGCCCAAAATTGTTTCTGTCCAAAGTTGTTTCTCGCCAAACTTCTTTCTGCCCAAACTTCTTTCTGCCCAAACTTCTTTCTTCCCAACTTCTATCTGCCCAAAGTACTTTCTGTCCAAAGTTCTTTCCGCCCAAACTTCTTTCTGCCCAAAATTCTTTCCGCCCAATGTTCTTTCTGTCCAAAGTTGTTTCCACCCAAACTTCTTTCCGCCCAAAGTGCATTCTGCCCAAACGTCTTTCCTCTCAAAGTTCTTTCTGTCCAAACTTGTTTGTGTCCAAATTTCTTTCTGCCCGAAATTCATTCTGCCCAAACTTCTTTCTGCCCAAACTGCTTTCCTCCCAAAGTTCTTTCTGTCCTAATTTCATTCTGCCCAAACTTCTTTCAGCCCAAACTTCTTTCTGCCCAAACTTCTTTCCACCCAAAATTTCTTTCTGTCAAAGTTGTTTCCCACCCAAACTACTTTCTGCCCAAAGTTCATGCTGCCCAAACATATTTCCTTAAAGTTCTTTCAAAAATTCTTTCACCCAAAAATTCTTTCTGCCCAAACTTTTTCTGACCAAACTTTTTTCACCCAAAATTGTTTCTGTCCAAAGTTGTTTCTCTCCAAACTTCTTTCTGCCCAAACTTCTTTCTGCCCAAACTTCTTTCTTCACAACTTCTATCTGCCCAAAGTACTTTCTGTCCAAAGTTCTTTCCAAACTTCTTTTCCCAAACTTCTTTCCGCAAAACTTCTTTCTGCCCAAAATTCTTTCCGCCCAAAAGTTCTTTCTGTCCAAAGTTGTTTCCCACCCAAACTTCTTTCCGCCCAAAAGTTCATTCTGCCCAAACGTCTTTCCTCTCAAAGTTCTTTCTGTCCAAACTTGTTTGTGTCCAAATTTCTTTCTGCCCGAAATTCTTTCTGCCCAAACTTCTTTCTGCCCAAACTGCTTTCCGTCCAAAGTTGTTTCTGTCAAAACTTCTCTCTGCCCAAACTTCTTTCTGCCCAAACATCTTTCCTTAAAACTTCTTTCTGCCCAAACTTCTTTCCACTTAAAATTGTTTCTGTACAAAGTTGATTCTGCTCAAAGTTGTTTCTGCCCAAACTTCTTTCTGCCCAAACTTCTTTCCGCCCAAAGTTTTTCCACCTAAACTTCTTTCTGCCCAAACTTCTTTCGGCCCAAAGTTGCTTCTGTACAAAGCCGTTTCTGCCCAAAAATCGTTCTGCCCAAACTTCTTTCCGCCCAAAGTTCTTTCTGTCCAAAGTTCTTTACGCCCAAACGTCTTTCTGCCCAATCTTCATTCTGCCCAAACTTCTTTCCTCCCAAAGTTATTTCTGTCCAAATTTCTTTCCGCCTAAACTTCTTTCGGCCCAAACTTCTTTCTGCCCAAACTTCTTTCCTCCCAAAGTTATTTCTGTCCAAATTTCTTTCCGCCTAAACTTCTTTCTGCCCAAACTTCTTTCCGCCCAAAGTTCTTTCTGTCCACAGTTCATTCTGCCCAAACGTCTTTCCGCCCAAATTTCTTTCTGTCCAAAGTTCTTTCTGTCCCAATTTGTTTCTGCCCGAAATTCTTTCTGTCCAAAATTCTTTCAGCCCAAATTTCTTTCCGCCCAAAGTTCTTTCCGCCCAAACTTTTTTGTGCCCAAACTGCTTTCCGCCCGAAGTTGTTTCTGTCCAAAGTTGTATCTGCCCAAACTTCTTCCTGCCCAATGTTCTTTCCGCCCAAACCTCTTTCCGCCCAAATTTGTTTCCGCCCAAATTTGTTTCCGCCCAAACTTATTTCCGCCCAATATTCTTTCTGTCAAAAGTTCTTTCCGCCCAAACTTCTTTCTGCCCAAATTTCTTTCCTTAAAAGTTCTCTCTGTCAAATTTCTTTCCTTAAAATTCTTTCTGCCCAAACTTCTTTCTGTCCAAACTTCTTTCTGTCTAAACTTCTTTCCACCCAAATTTCTTTCAGCCCAAACTTCGTTCCGCCCAAACTTCTTTCCGCCCAAACTTTTTCCTGCCCAAAGTTCTTTCCGCCCTAATTTCTTTCTGCCCAAAGTTCTTTCCGCCCAAACTTCTTTCCGCCTAAACTTCTTTCCCAAACGTCCCAAACTTCTTTCTGCCCAAAATTCTTTCCACCCAAACTTCTTCCCTTAAAAGTTCTTTCCTTTAAATTTCTTTCTGCTCAAAGTTGTTTCTGCCCAAACTTCTTCCGCCCAAAGTTGTTTCCGCCCAAACTTCTTTCTGCCCAAACTTCTTTCCTTCCAAACTTCTTTCTGTCCAAAGGATTTTCTGCCCAAACATCTTTCTGCCCAAACTGCTTTACGCCCAAACGTCTTTTCGCCAAAGTTCTTTCTGTCCAAATTTTTTCCGCCCAAACTTCTTTCGGCCCAAACTTCTTTCTGCCCAACTTCTATCCGCCCAAAGTACTTTCTGTCCAAACTTCTTTCTGTCCAAAGTTCTTTCTGCCCAAACTTCTTTCTGTCCAAACTGCTTTCCGCCAAAAGTTGTTTCTGTCGAAACTTCTCTCTGCCCAAACTTCTTTCTGCCCAAACTTCTTTCCGCCCAAAGATGTTTCTGTCCAAAGTTGATTCTGCTCAAAGTTGTTTCTGCCCAAACTTCTTTCTGCCCAAACTTCTTTCCGCCCAAAGTTTTTCCGCCCAAACTTCTTTCTGCCCAAACTTCTTTCCGCCGAAAGTTCATTCTGCCCAAAGTTGTTTCTGCCCAAACATTTTTCTGCCCAAACTTCTTTCCGCCCAAACTTCTTTCCGCCCAAAGTTCTTTCTGTCCAAAGTTCTTTCCGCCCAAACTTCTTTCGGCCCAAAATTCTTTCCATCCAAAGTTCTTTCTGTCCAAAGTTGTTTCCACCCAAACTTCATTACGCCCAAAGTTCATTCTCCCCAAACGTCTTTCCGCCCAATGTTCTTTCTGTCCAAAGTTCTTTCCGCCCAAACTTCTTTCGGCCCAATCTTCTTTCTGCCCAAACTTCTTTCCTCCCAAAGTTCTTTCTGTCCTAATTTCTTTCTGTCCAAACTTCTTTCAGCCCAAACTTCTTTCTGCCCAAACTTCTTTCCGCCCAAATTTCTTTCTGTCCAAAGTTGTTTCCGCCCAAACTACTTTCTGCCCAAAGTTCATGCTGCCCAAACGTATTTCCACCCCAAAGTTCTTATTGTTCAAAGTTCTTTCCTTAAACTTCTTTCGATTCCAAACTTTTTTCTGACCAAACTTTTTTCCGCCCAAAATTGTTTCTGTCCAAAGTTGTTTCTCGCCAAACTTCTTTCTGCCCAAACTTCTTTCTGCCCAAACTTCTTTCTTCACAACTTCTATCTGCCCAAAGTACTTTCTGTCCAAAGTTCTTTCCGCCCAAACTTCTTTCTGCCCAAAATTCTTTCCGCCCAAAGTTCTTTCTGTCCAAAGTTGTTTCCACCCAAACTTCTTTCCGCCCAAAGTGCATTCTGCCCAAACGTCTTTCCTCTCAAAGTTCTTTCTGTCCAAACTTGTTTGTGTCCAAATTTCTTTCTGCCCGAAATTCTTTCTGCCCAAACTTCTTTCTGCCCAAACTGCTTTCCGTCCAAAGTTGTTTCTGTCCCTAACTTCTCTCTGCCCAAACTTCTTTCTGCCCAAACATCTTTCCTCCCAAACTTCTTTCTGCCCAAACTTCTTTTCCAAAAGTTGTTTCTGTTAAAACTTGATTCTGCTCAAAGTTGTTTCTCCCAAACTTCTTTCTGCCCAAACTTCTTTCCTTCCCACCTAAACTTCTTTCTGCCCAAACTTCTTTCCGCCCAAAGTTCTGTACAAAAGCGTTTCTGCCCAAACATAGTTCTGCCCAAACTTCTTTCCGCCCAAAAGTTCTTTCTGTCCAAACTTTACGCCCAAACGTCTTTCTGTCCAAACTTCATTCTGCCCAAACTTCTTTCCTCCCAAAGTTGTTTCTGTCCAAAACTTCTTTCCGCCTAAACTTCTTTCAAAACTTCTTTCTGCCAAAACGTCTTTCTGCCCAAAGTTATTTCTGTCAAATTTCTTTCCGCCTAAACTTCTTTCTGCCCAAACGTCTTTCCGCCCAAAGTTCTTTTCCCCAAACTTCATTCTGCCCAAACTTATTTCTTTCCAAACTTCTTTCCTTAAAGTTCTTTCTGTCCAAGTTCATTCTGCCCAAACGTCTTTCCTTAAATTTCTTTCTATCCAAAGTTCTTTCTGTCCCAATTTGTTTCTGCCCAAATTCTTTCTGTCCAAACTTCTTTCTGCCCAATCTTCTTTCCTTCCAAAGTTCTTTCCCGCCCAAACTTATTTCCGCCCAAACTTCTTTTCCGCCCAAATAAGTTTCCGCCCAAACTTCTTTCTGCCCAATATTCTTTCTGTCAAAGTTCTTTCCGCTCAAACTTCTTTCTGCCCAAATTTTTTTCTCTCTCTGTCCAAAGTTCTTTCCGCCCAAAATTCTTTCTGCCCAAACTTCGTTCCCCCAAACTTCTTTCCGCCCAAACTTTTTCCTGCCCAAAGTTCTTTCCGCCCCAAATTTCTTTCTGCCCAAAGTTCTTTCCGCCCAAACTTCTTTCCGCCTAAACTTCTTTCCGCCCAAACTTCTTTCTGCCCAAATTCTTTCCACCCAAACTTCTTTCTTTCTTAAATTTGTTTCTGCCCAAACTTATTTCCGCCCAATATTCTTTCTGTCCAAAAGTTCTTTCCGCCCAAACTTCTTTCTGCCCAAATTTCTTTCCTGCCCAAAGTTCTCTCTGTCCAAAGTTCTTTCCACCCAAAATTCTTTCTGCCCAAACTTCTTTCTGTCCAAACTTCTTTCTGTCCAAATTTCTTTCCACCCAAATTTCTTTTCAGCCCAAACTTCGTTTCCGCTCCAAAGTTCTTTCCGCAAAAAAAAGTTCTTTCCCTCCAAATTTCTTTCCATTAAATTCTTTCTGCCCAAAGTTCTTTCTGTCCAAATTCTTTCTGTCTAAAGTTCTTTCCGTCTAAACTTCTTTCCGCCCAAACTTCTTTCCACCCAAAGTTATTTCCGACCATATTTCTTTCCGCCCAAACTTTTTTCTGCCCAAAGTTCTTTCCGCCCTAATTTCTTTCTGCCCAAAGTTCTTTCCGCCCAAACTTCTTTCCGCCTAAACTTCTTTCCACTTAAACTTCTTTCTGCCCAAAATTCTTTCCACCCAAACTTCTTCCCACCCAAAGTTCTTTCCATTAAATTTTTTTCTGCTCAAAGTTCTTTCTGCCCAAACTTCTTTCCCCCCAAATTTCTTTCTGCCACAATTTCTTTCCGCCGAAAGTTCTTTCCGCCCAAATTCTTTCCGACCAAAGTTCTTTCCGCTCAAACATTCTTTCCAAAAATTCTTTCTTCGCCCCAATTCTTTCTGTCTAATGTTCTTTCCGCAAAATTTATTTTTTGCCCAAACTTCTTTCCGCCCAAATTTCATTCTGCCTAAATTTCTATCCGCCCTAATTACTTTCCGGCCAAACTTCTTTCCGCCCAAAGTTATTTCCGACCATAGTTCTTTCCGCCCAAATTTCTTCCTGCCCAAACTTCTTTCCACCCAAACTTCTTTCTGCCCCAAATTCTTTCCACCAAACTTCTCCCCGCCCAAAGTTTTTTCCGCCCAAATTTCTTTCTGCTCAAACTTCTTTCTGCCCAAAGTTCCTTCCGCTCAATGTTCTTTCCGCCCAAATTTCTTTCCGCCGAAAGTTCTTTTTGCCACAAATTCTTTCCGCCGAAAGTTCTTTCCGCCCAAATTCTTTCCGCCAAAAATTCTTTCCGACCAAAGTTCTTTCCGCCCAAAGTTCTTTCCGCCCCAATTCTTTCTGTCTAATGTTCTTTCCGCCCAAATTCTTTCTGTCTAAAGTTCTTTCCGCCCAAATTTCTTTCCGCCTTCTTTCTTTCCGCCCAAACTTCTTTCCGCACAAACTTTTTCTTTTGCCCAAACTTCTTTCCGCACAAATTTTCATTCTGCCTAAATTTTCTATCCGCCCTAATTTCTTTCTGCCCAAACTTCTTTCCGCCCAAACTTCTTTCCGGCAAAACTACTTTCCGCCCAAATATTTCCGACCATAGTTCTTTCCCCAAATTTTTCCTGCCCAAAGTTCTTTCCGCCCAAACTTCTTTCCGCCCAAACTTCTTTCCGCCCAAACTTCTTTCTGCCCAAAAATTCTTTCTGTCCCCAAACTTCTTCCCGCCCAAAATTCTTTCCATCCAAACTTTCTTTCTGCCCAAACTTCCTTCTGCCCAAAGTTCATTTCCGCTCAAAGTTCTTTCCGCCCAAATTTCTTTCCGCCCAATGTTCTTTCTGTCCAAAGTTCTTTCCGCCCAAACTTCTTTCGGCCCAATCTTCTTTCTGCCCAAACTTCTTTCCTCCCAAAGTTCTTTCTGTCCTAATTTCTTTCTGTCCAAACTTCTTTCAGCCCAAACTTCTTTCTGCCCAAACTTCTTTCCGCCCAAATTTCTTTCTGTCCAAAGTTGTTTCCGCCCAAACTACTTTCTGCCCAAAGTTCATGCTGCCCAAACGTATTTCCGCCCAAAGTTCTTATTGTACAAAGTTCTTTCCGCCCAAACTTCTTTCGGCCCAAACTTTTTTCTGACCAAACTTTTTTCCGCCCAAAATTGTTTCTGTCCAAAATTGTTTCTCGCCAAACTTCTTTCTGCCCAAACTTCTTTCTGCCCAAACTTCTTTCTTCCCAACTTCTATCTGCCCAAAGTACTTTCTGTCCAAAGTTCTTTCCGCCCAAACTTCTTTCTGCCCAAAATTCTTTCCGCCCAATGTTCTTTCTGTCCAAAGTTGTTTCCACCCAAACTTCTTTCCGCCCAAAGTGCATTCTGCCCAAACGTCTTTCCTCTCAAAGTTCTTTCTGTCCAAACTTGTTTGTGTCCAAATTTCTTTCTGCCCGAAATTCTTTCTGCCCAAACTTCTTTCTGCCCAAACTGCTTTCCGTCCAAAGTTGTTTCTGTCGAAACTTCTCTCTGCCCAAACTTCTTTCTGCCCAAACATCTTTCCGCCCAAACTTCTTTCTGCCCAAACTTCTTTCCGCCCAAAGTTGTTTCTGTACAAAGTTGATTCTGCTCAAAGTTGTTTCTCCCCAAACTTCTTTCTGCCCAAACTTCTTTCCGCCCAAAGTTTTTCCACCTAAACTTCTTTCTGCCCAAACTTCTTTCCGCCCGAAGTTGCTTCTGTACAAAGCCGTTTCTGCCCAAACATAGTTCTGCCCAAACTTCTTTCCGCCCAAAGTTCTTTCTGTCCAAAGTTCTTTACGCCCAAACGTCTTTCTGCCCAATCTTCATTCTGCCCAAACTTCTTTCCTCCCAAAGTTATTTCTGTCCAAATTTCTTTCCGCCTAAACTTCTTTCGGCCCAAACTTCTTTCTGCCCAAACTTCTTTCCTCCCAAAGTTATTTCTGTCCAAATTTCTTTCCGCCTAAACTTCTTTCTGCCCAAACGTCTTTCCGCCCAAAGTTCTTTCCGCCCAAACTTCATTCTGCCCAAACTTATTTCTGCCCAAACTTCTTTCCGCCCAAAGTTCTTTCTGTCCACAGTTCATTCTGCCCAAACGTCTTTCCGCCCAAATTTCTTTCTATCCAAAGTTCTTTCTGTCCCAATTTGTTTCTGCCCGAAATTCTTTCTGTCCAAACTTCTTTCTGCCCAATCTTCTTTCCGCCCAAAGTTCTTTCCGCCCAAACTTATTTCCGCCCAAACTTCTTTCCGCCCAAATAAGTTTCCGCCCAAACTTATTTCCGCCCAATATTCTTTCTGTCCAAAGTTCTTTCCGCCCAAAGTTCTTTCTGCCCAAATTTCTTTCCGCCCAAAGTTCTCTCTGTCCAAAGTTCTTTCCGCCCAAAATTCTTTCTGCCCAAAATTCTTTCTGCCCAAACTTCTTTCCGCCCAAACTTCTTTCCGCCCAAAGTTCTTTCCGCCCAAACTTCTTTCTGCCCAAAGTTCTTTCCGCCCAAACTTCTTTCCGCCTAAACTTCTTTCCGCCCAAACTTCTTTCTGCCCAAAATTCTTTCCACCCAAACTTCTTCCCGCCCAAATTTGTTTCTGCCCAAACTTATTTCCGCCCAATATTCTTTCTGTCCAAAGTTCTTTCCGCCCAAACTTCTTTCTGCCCAAATTTCTTTCCGCCCAAAGTTCTCTCTGTCCAAAGTTCTTTCCGCCCAAAATTCTTTCTGCCCAAACTTCTTTCTGTCCAAACTTCTTTCTGTCCAAATTTCTTTCCACCCAAATTTCTTTCAGCCCAAACTTCGTTCCGCCCAAAGTTCTTTCCGCCCAAATTCTTTCTGTCTAAAGTTCTTTCCGCCCAAATTTCTTTCCGCCCAAAATTCTTTCTGCCCAAAGTTCTTTCCGCCCAAATTCTTTCTGTCTAAAGTTCTTTCCGCCTAAACTTCTTTCCGCCCTCTTCTTTCCACCCAAAGTTATTTCCGACCATATTTCTTTCCGCCCAAACTTTTTCCTGCCCAAAGTTCTTTCCGCCCTAATTTCTTTCTGCCCAAAGTTCTTTCCGCCCAAAGTTCTTTCCGCCTAAACTTCTTTCCGCCCAAACTTCTTTCTGCCCAAAATTCTTTCCACCCAAACTTCTTCCCGCCCAAAGTTCTTTCCGCCCAAATTTTTTTCTGCTCAAAGTTCTTTCTGCCCAAACTTCTTTCCCCGCAAATTTCTTTCTGCCACAATTTCTTTCCGCCGAAAGTTCTTTCCGCCCAAATTCTTTCCGACCAAAGTTCTTTCCGCTCAAAGTTCTTTCCGCCCAAAATTCTTTCCGCCCCAATTCTTTCTGTCTAATGTTCTTTCCGCACAAATTTATTTTTGCCCAAACTTCTTTCCGCACAAATTTCATTCTGCCTAAATTTCTATCCGCCCTAATTACTTTCCGGCCAAACTTCTTTCCGCCCAAAGTTATTTCCGACCATAGTTCTTTCCGCCCAAATTTCTTCCTGCCCAAACTTCTTTCCGCCCAAACTTCTTTCTGCCCCAAATTCTTTCCACCCAAACTTCTCCCCGCCCAAAGTTCTTTCCGCCCAAATTTCTTTCTGCTCAAACTTCTTTCTGCCCAAAGTTCCTTCCGCTCAATGTTCTTTCCGCCCAAATTTCTTTCCGCCGAAAGTTCTTTTTGCCACAAATTCTTTCCGCCGAAAGTTCTTTCCGCCCAAATTCTTTCCGCCAAAAATTCTTTCCGACCAAAGTTCTTTCCGCCCAAAGTTCTTTCCGCCCCAATTCTTTCTGTCTAATGTTCTTTCCGCCCCAATTCTTTCTGTCTAAAGTTCTTTCCGCCCAAATTTCTTTCCGCCCAAACTTCTTTCCGCCCAAACTTCTTTCCGCACAAATTTCTTTTTGCCCAAACTTCTTTCCGCACAAATTTCATTCTGCCTAAATTTCTATCCGCCCTAATTTCTTTCTGCCCAAACTTCTTTCCGCCCAAACTTCTTTCCGGCAAAACTTCTTTCCGCCCAAGTTATTTCCGACCATAGTTCTTTCCGCCCAAATTTTTTCCTGCCCAAAGTTCTTTCCGCCCAACTTCTTTCCGCCCAAACTTCTTTCCGCCCACACTTCTTTCTGCCCAAAATTCTTTACACCCAAACTTCTTCCCGCCCAAAGTTCTCTCCGCCCAAATTTCTTTCTGCTCAAACTTCCTTCTGCCCAAAGTTCATTCCGCTCAAAGTTCTTTCCGCCCAAATTTCTTTCCGCCCAAAATTCTTTCTGCCCAAAATTCTTTCTGCCCAAATTTCTTTCCGCCCAAAATTATTTCCGCCCAAAGTTCTTTCTGCCCAAATTTCTTTCCGCCCAAAATTATTTCCGCCCAAAATTATTTCCGCCCAAAATTATTTCCGACCAAAGTTCTTTCCGCCCAAATTTCTTTCTGCCCAAACTTCTTTCCGCCCAAATTTATTTCCGACCAAAGTTCTTTCAGCCCAAACTTATTTCCGCCCAAACTTCTTTCCGCCCCAAGTTCTTTCTGCCCAAAGTTCTTTCCGCCCAAATTTCTTTCCGCCTAAAGTTCTTTCCGCCCAAAGTTATTTCAGCCCAAATTTTTTCTGTCCAGCGTTCTTTCCGCCTTTAATTCTTTCTGTCCAAAGTTCTATCTGCCCAAAATTATTAAAATAGTAGTAATTCAGAGAATATGCTTGAGCTCTTTTGAAACACTAATTTGATGATAAATGTTAATAAATCGATTTCTATTATGTCCATTTAAAAATACATATTAAGTCTATTTGACGAGGAACTCTTTACTCCGATATCCAGTGTAAAATCAAATATGCGTGCGTGTATTTAATCTTTCAATTTTATTTAATCTTAACTTAAATCTTGTACTTGTTTAGGATGTGGTTTACCGGTTCCTTTCTTCCATGACCTTAATGATTTAACTGTCTAACTTTTTAGTGATCATTGACTGTGAATTTTCATTTTTACGGTACCGGCTTGGTAGTTTTCTGGTTGCAGTAGCTCGTCTGGTAACGCTCAGAAAGACTGCTATAGTCAACTTTCGCATAATATCGAGCTAATTGCAGTGTGAAAACCATGAGACCACATTATGCCACCTTAGCCACCTTCTGGACAGTTTGTATTTCCAGACAGGGATAATTATTTTGGCCTTTTTCTGCTTAAAAATTAAAATTCTTATGACAGTTAAGATTAAATGAAATACTAGTAAACCAGTAAACAAAAAAAAAACACTTTCTTTCTCCAATATTCGTGCTATTTTTGTAGTGTAAAATTTTAAAACATCTTCCTGATAACTTAGCACTTTGCAAAACTAATTTAAATTCTTCTATCGTTACTAATGAATTCTTTGTTCCATGCTTTCAGGCTTCCACTTTTCGAAATGATTCTAGTTTACATATTCATGGCTTTGGTGCTTATACCCGGGGAAATCTTCCAGTGGCAAGGGAATTGTCTCTTGAGTCCCAGGATGATTCTTTCATGTGCTTTCGACTGTCTTTATTACACTCTATTAACTATCACATATTCCTTTATCGCTCCCTTCTTCTCATGGCTAAATATCGCTCCCTTCTTCTCATGGCTAAATATCGGACAATCTCTCTCTCTCTCCCTCTCTCTCTCTCTCTCTCTCTCTACATTCATCAGCGAACATTTATGTGTTTGATGTTTTTAATGCTCCTCATGTTAAGTGGCTTAAGCATTCTAATTTTACTGATGTTACCGGTATTCAGACTTACAATCTTTTCAGTTGTATCAATCTTCTTTACTTGATTCATTTCTTACCTCCTATTGCCAAGAATCGTAATTCTGTCCTCTTGACAATTGGGAATATGCTATATTATTTGTTGATATTTCTTTTGAGTAGTCTATTAAACAGGAACCTTCCCTAGGTCAACAATATGTAAAATATATAAATTGAAATATTAAATTACCACAGATTCGTTGTCTTTAAAATATGAAAAAGGATTTGATGAATTTTACATTTTTATGATTATGCATAAGTAGTAAAAACTAAAAGCATATAATGACAATTAATAAGATTTTCTAAGTTTCATTAAAAAGCGCATAGGTATTTTTATTGTAACGGTTATTGCTGAAAGGGTCTATCAAGCTTTAGATAAGGAAAGTGAAGCTCTGGATATTGCATTGGATATCTCGAAGGTATTTTACTGGGTTTGGCATGCTGGTATTTGATAGTTGAAAGGTTATGGCATTTCTGTACGAATTTATGATCTGATTCAATCTTATCAAATCGCAAAACCAAAGTTGTCTTGAGCGGTCACTCTTCTAGACCATTTTTTTTTATTTAATGCAGGTATTATTCAGGGTTCTATCCTTGGACTTACGTTGATTCGAATTTTCATAAACAGCCTTCCTGATGTCAACTCGGTATCTATGCTGATGACACAATTATTTATTCCTGTTTTAATGTTAACTTTGATCTGTTTGATAAGGTTAAATTGGCAACTGATCTAAATAACGACGTACAACTTTTTGTCAGTTGGAGCATATTAAAATGGGGGAGTTAAATTAACAATGCATTGTAATGATACTGCCTTTTGCTTTGTTTCTTAATCACCTGTAATTTCGGTATAGGCAAAAAAATCCATACATTCTATGAAAAGAGATCCTATTGAATTTAAAAATATGCCGACCTCATTCAAATTTAGCTATAAGTAGATTTTTTAATGTTCATAATAAGCACAGGTATTTTTAGAGTAAATATCAGAACAGGTTCGATATGAATGTATCTGTTTCGTTGATTATATGTTTTTGCTTTTAATTGCTGTGTTGCAGCTGACATTTCGAGAGAGACAAATCAAAATCATTGCAAGAATAGATTGAAAAATGAACAGATGCTTCTTTATTGCGCTGAAAATGGCGAAAACCTTCTGCAAAATACGAACAACATATACAAGAATATTTCCTGAAAAATTTCAAGCACATTTTTATAGATACAATTTTGAAAAAATTCTTAAAATTCTTATTGACACGAAAAATGTTTTCCTATTCGTTTGAATATCGAAGTTACAAAATACAAATCAAGATAGAAATGTGATCAGTTTAATTTTCTCGTCTAATTAACAGAGCTGTTTAATGGTTCTTCAACGAAAAACTGAATTTGAATGAGGTCAATATATGTTTAAATTCAATAGGATCCCTTTTATAGAAAGATTGGATTTTTTGCCCACCCCGAAATTATATGAGGTTAAGAAACAAAGCAAAATGCAGTATCTTTGAAATTTTTTAAGGTGAAAGGAAAACAAAATACTCATCGTGTTACTGGCCCTAAGAACCTGCTGATTTTTTTTTTAATGGACTGTGATTGGACGGTTCAAAGGTGAAAGGGAAGGAGAACTGGGATTGGACCGTAGCAGCTTAGAAAGAAGAGGTTCGTTTTCTCTCTCCCTGCTGAAAAGGCAGGTAGCGTTTGCCCATAAGTGATGGATGCATGGGTAAACAAAGTTGCTGAGGGCAAGTTTCCCCTTCAGAGAAAGTCCTCTCGAAGAAGCCCCAGAAAAGAAAGTTGAAAAGAAGTTCATAAGTGGAGTTTGGAGCTAAAGCCGTTTGAGAAGAAGAAGGAGCAAACATGTGCGTTTTCAAAAAGTGTTTTAGCGCGTGTTTAAGTTTCACCTTATAGCGGCCGTAAAGTAAAGGCGTAATTTCCCGGCTGACGGGAGGAAAATAAGTGAAGAAAGAAGGGAGTTTGGTCACCAAGAAGAGAACCTTGTCTACACAAAAGAGATAAAAACTTTTGAACCTTAAAAGGACTGAAAGTCTACTGTAGAGCTAAGGTTCTCCTCCCCTTTTTTATTGTTATCATTGACACTGCAGGGGGGCGCGATTCTTTTTTTTTGCATTGTAATTTTTAAGTTTTCTTTTTCTGATATATATTTTACCTTTTGTTATCAGAAAATAGGTTATCTTATCAGAATAACTTGAAGAAATGCGAAATCAATGAACAGAGTTATATATTTAGTTTCGTACTAGAGAATAACGAATATTTTTCAATTTGACATTGTTTGAATTAGTTTCAGTAAAGCTAGCTCTCTTTCCTAATACGTATTTCAATGTTGTCTTAGTTTGTGCATTTAGAAAATTTACATTATATTCATAAACTATGAAACAAAATGAAAATTTACTTATGTTTTTTACCAATACTCACAAATTCGGAAAGTTACTCTTGTAATTTATGATTTTCTTCTCGAGTGAAACTGATATGGGATCCTTTAGACCAGGGGTCGGTAACCTTTTGGAGAGAGCGGACCAGAAACGTATTTAACGTCTCAAAAGAGGGACATTATATCGAAGGTGTACTATAATAAATTGTCTCAACCGCAGACCGCTTTGTCCAAAAGGTCGCCCTGGGTGTTTAAAGGAAAAACAAAGAAATTAATGTTATATTATTTAAACACGTTTTATTGTTGAAACTTGAATAAAGCATGGAATAATAATAATACAACACAAAATGTACTTAAGCAAAATGTATTGACACAAGAACGTGTACACAATATTTACAGATAGTTTGGTATATTCTTGGGAAGACCGTTCCTGTAGAATGGGTTGACTTAGTCGCAGTCGGGCAGAGTCTCTGGATTGCATCTCTTCTTCCTCCCCTCGTCTTCCCGGTACCAACCATACTTATATGGTCGGTACTCCACTATGTAAATTAGGTGGATCGTACCACAACATTTATGTATTTTACCACAGAAATAATAGGATAACAACTAACGCAACAAAAAAATATACCCTTACTACAAACTAAATAAAGTTAGAAACGTCAATTTTTTTAATGCGACACTTATTTAGGTGGAATATTTGTCGATGCAAAGAGCAAAACATTATCCAGGTGGTCATCACCCAACCTTGTTCTTAAGAACTTAAGAACGACTTTTAGTATATTTCATATTCAAAAAATGTAGTTCACAGGCATATGTACTTCCAAATAATGATACCATTATTTTCGCATTATTCAATAGGCTTTCATATTTTCCGCTTGGTAAAACATATTTCTTACAGAAGTCAGCAGTGGATTCAGAATGAAATTTCGATTTTAAAAATCTGTCGCATTAACTCCAATTGACATTTTTCTTTTTGATTACTCCACAAATTAATTAGATAGTGTTCGGAGGTGAATTTGGAAGGCCAGACAAACTTTTGCGGCCCAGATTTTCAATTTGGATCTTTACACAGAACAAAAAGCTAAAAAAACTTGTCCGTCTAAAACGTACGTCACTACGAAAAATGAAAATGTTTTGTAGGTTCTGCAACAAATGTACCAGTATAGAATTGCAAGGCACAGCTCGGTGAGTTTCAGCACTGGTATACATCATCACTGATGTTCCTGCAGTTATAATTTTCGGATTTCAGACACATCGCCCAGTTGACCTAGTTGATCACGACTTGCAACCCTTTATCAATACACTGTAAAACAAATGATTCTTTTGTCTCCCTCTCTTTATCTCTCTCACTCACCGTCTATCTCTCTTTGTCTCTTTCTCTCTGTCTCTCTGTCTCTCTCTCAGACACACATACACGAGCATGGAAACCAAACTTGTTTTATTAAATAACTGAATAATTATTTTTTGTATATTTTTATAAACAAGTGCGCATTTATATACGAGTTTATATCAAGAGATGCAATTCTATCTAGGTAGCAAAATGAACGGAATATACAAATAGTATCAAATTGAATTTGTACGAAGTTCTTTTTAGAGGAATCGTTTTTACTAAATTTCTGAATAACTATTCCAACTGTATTGCCAAAATTATTTACCGACGCATCTATTATGCTCTCTAATTCATTTACAATAGATTTTAGCAGTAAACAAACGCAGCGATTGCAATAGACAATGAGTTTCTTTAACTGGACTTACCCTTGAGTATGATGGCTTTAAAAAGAAAAGCCTCAACCGAGATTATAATTATCAGTATTTGACGTTTGCTCTTTGCTTTTTCAGTTTCCATCATAATTTTGACACATGAATCTACTCATCCAGTCATACGTTTTGTTACCTTTCAATTAAATTCTACTGGAGATGAAACCTAGAAACCTGTTTCGATAAGCAAATTAGCCTTGGGTATAACCAGGTTCTAATGAAGATCTCACAGAAATGCATATATCCTCTATGAGGGGATGTGCATACATACATGAATGTATTAAATATTTATCAATACACATCTTTTATATAATTGTGTCACATCAACGTGTGTTTATGTGCGTGTGCGCTATCACATAAAGAATAGTTTGGGCTTCGTTTTGTGAGAACCACATATATCAGTGGTCCAATGGCGCTCGAGTGAGGAGAAAAGTATACTTTTTCAAAACACTGCAACATGACTGGCTGTGATAAAAGAAAGAAAGAAAGAAAGAAAGAAAGAAAGAAAGGGAAATGAAGGGAGGAAGAAAGAGAGAGAAATAAGAAAACAAGAAAAATAGAGAGAGAAAAAGAAAAGAAGAGAGAAAGAAAACAATCTCGGACGAAAGAAAGAAAGAAAGAAAGAAAGAAAGAAAGAAAGAAAAGAAAGAAAGAAAGAAAATGTCAGTATTAAGAGTATTAGACAAAGAAATACAGAGCGTAAGCAGAATTTAAGAGAGACACCTTTTGAACATGAAAAGTGAAATCAGATCTATAAAGAAAGAAGAAGAAACCTGCTGCAAACGAGAGGGTGTGTTTAGTCGATTATTAATCGGGGGGTATGGGGGATATGGACAAAGATACCGAAGTGGAAAATATGAAAGAGTAAAATTAAAAGGCAAAGAGAGAGAGAGAGAGAGAGAGAGAGAGAGAGAGAGAGAGAGAGAGAAAACTTAACCCTATGCTTGACAGAGTAAAAAGAGAAATTATGAAAACAAAATGTTTCGCCATTCATGATTGTCTCCTTAATTGTAACTTACATCTTATTTTTTCCTGATAATACAGTAAATCTATTAGATATCTTATACATTTCATTTGGTGTAACGTCGCAGAAGAACATGTTAAAACAATACGTTTGCTGAATAGCATATCTCTGTTATATGATAACTGTAAAATATAACATAATCACATGATTATATCATTCTTTTACATTTATCCCTTTAGATTTACACATTTTAACTACATGCTTACAGTTACATCCCCATATGTGTGTGTGTTCGCACGTGTGTGTGTGTTCGCACGTGTGTGTGTGTGTGTGTGTTCGCACGTGTGTGTGTGTGTGTGTGTGTGTGTGTGTGTGTGTGTGTGTGTGTGTAAGCTTACGTAAGGATCATTTCCAATATGTCTGTAGTCTTTACCAACGACCAAAAGAGAACAGGTGAGAAAATAAGAACTAAAATTTACCTTATCATAAAGAACAACTGTAGACTGTTTCATTAATCAAAAAAAAAAAAAAAAAAATTACCATTGAAAAGAGGTTTACAAATCAGGTGAGCTTTGCATATACAATTACAAAGTCACATTTCCATGATCTTTCTTTTCCTTTCTTGTTATTACATTGGAAACGTTTTCGAACAGATTGTTTACATTAAATGTTGTATTTCACTTTTACATTTATTCATTTATTATTATTTGACTACTTGCCATATTCTTATTGTGACATTTCCTAAAAACACTTTTACTTGACGTAAACATGGCTTAGTGTTTAATACTATAGTCAAAAGTAACCAGCAGCTCATTTCCATTTCAACTTTTGTGAATGATCACTCTTTCTATTTCATTGCAAAGCTCCCGGTTTCACACACTTTTCAAATTATAACCAAATGACTAAATATTAGATTTTAGATTAGATCTTCTTAACCAGACTGAGAACTTTTCAGCACTCCTTCGTATATTGATTTATTCGAACTATTGTTCTCATCTTGGTTGACAGTGATGTTATTATAGACACAACAATTAGTAATAGTCACAGTCATCTTCAGGTGTCCATTTTGTATTAGGCGATTATCTCGATATTTTGTCGTTATGACATCGTTTCTTGCGCGTTCCTACTGAATCGACCGTGATTACGAATGTCAAACGTGACATTGAACTGAAAAAAGAATCTAAATATAGACCACTCGTTATTGTTATTTACTGGATAAAACCTTTGGTCACAATGTTTTCGTGAGTTCAATTGCTGCATCATGCCATGAACATATATATGATAAACAGAAATATGATCAATATAGCAATGACAAAAAATACATCAATCAACTACTACAAGATATTCCTTATAAACAAAAAGGGGCACTCTGATGATAGCTAGAGGTAACATAGCTAAAGCATTTTTATAATATTTAGAACAATCAAGATGAGAACGACAGTCCAAAGATATTAATGTATGAGAATTCCTCATCTTAAATCTAACAATTTATATATATATATATATATATATATCTATATATAGAAGAGGATTCATACCTTTTCTCAATTTAACTAGATCTCACATAAGTGAGATCTAGTTAAATTCTGTTTCGCGTCTTCTAGCGATTCATTTCATTCTCCAGAATAATATTCGATACTGTGGATTTATTTTATTTCGCTTTTATTAATACGACAGTGTAAATAAACAAGTTATTTTCAATGAAGTGAAGTTTTATTAAAATATTTTTTGGAAAATTTAATCGAATATAAAATACTGAAAATTTATTTTTCTCCTCGTAGATTAATTTACTGTAGATTTAAATTGATATTCTCGCCAAAATTTCAGTTTTCCAAACAATTTAAAACCTTCTTTTAATAAAGCAGTTTCACCGACTAAAAAATTAAATTTAGACCAAAATCATTTTTTTCTCAAGTAACGACGAAAACATATACCTTATTTCATGCATGAGTGAGTGCTTTCACATGCACGACAAATAGATTTTTTTTTCTGTGAGCAAGCCAAAGTTAGTTACTGAATTAATTTACGAGTAAAACAATTATTTCTAGTTGGAGTTGTATAATTTATTCATTACGCCAGCTGCTTTAGAAAGAAAAAGAAAGGAGGAGGATAATAAAAATGCACTAAAGTCCATATTACTACGAGTCACAAATAAAAAATATAGAGATTATCTAGAAAAATAATCTTTATTTCTCTGAAGGCTTTATAATATAGATCTCGTCAAAGATATATTTGCAACTATCTACGAGTTTGTGCATGTTATTTGCGCGGGAAATATGTGCGTATGTGTGAGAGTGATGTGATTGGGCTCAATGCATACGTATTTATATATTTTTTTAAATAAACCTTTAAAATAAAGGTCATCAATCTTTCATAAAATTCAATACCAGACCTGTGCAACTGCAAATATTCAATTTGTCTTCTATCAAATGTTATCCGCAAATCTTAACGAATTCATAACAATTTACAGCCTGTCAACATGGTCAATGATCACATTTGACCATGTTGACAGACTGTGAATTCTTATGTCGGTTAAGTACATTTATATATTTCATTTATCGTTCAAAAGTTGAGTTTTAAAGTTGAGTTTCACTGAAACTGTCGAAAGAATCAAAAGTACATCGACTGTAACATCTTTTTTTGTGTTGGTGACAATGCTTAAGCAAAGTAAACATTTTCATTTACAGGGGATTGTTAGCATTTAGCTTGTAAAAATTCTAAGATAATTATTTGTATAATAGATTTTTTAGAGATTTAGTTTCTCAAAAATCTGTATCATAAAATTACATATCATTTTTAAATCTCTATCATAAAATATCTGAAACTACATATCATTTTTCAAAATATTACTACAACATAAAGAATTTTGGAAAATCACTTTCAGTTATTTTTCTTCAAATTTTTGTTTCATTTTTTTGTCCCTTTGAATATATGTTCTATATTTCATATAAGGTTGATTTGCTTACAGTGTTAATTAGAATAAAGTTTGAGAAAAATATGCTTTAATGTTCGGAATTTCGCGCAGATTAAATGATATATTTGGACTTACTAACATTCTTTGATTGTAAACGTTTTATTTCGTACAACAAATTCAGAGCTGCTTAAAAAAGTCTATTTTGCACAAACAAAGAAAGACTTGTAAGAAAATCAAGATAGCATTCTTTACGAAATGAACTCGACTTCACTTTTAACTCTAGCTTTTGTATTCTGCTGGAGTTGGAAGATTTTTCGTTTTTTTAAATTTAAGTTTGGGTGTGACTGAGAAGTTGAATAGTTCTATTTTAGTTGCACGATTTGGTAATTCACGAAAGAGTATTTTATTTCAATAGAAGGAAATCATTAAACATTTCCAGAAAAATATCTCTGAATTACAATTGATATTAATATCAGATATGATAAAAAGGGCGTTTTTATTCTGCTTATGCTTAAAACAAATGGATAAGTTAAAAGCAAGTTTGAACTGAATAATGGCAATATGCTGCTATATTAACCGGCCGATGTCTACAAGTGCTTAACCCAAATACTACCGATTTCTTCTCTGTCAATTAAAATATGAAAATATTTGAATGCATGCAGTTGTTCAAATGAAACCCAGAAAATGTTTGTGTGCGCGAGCATGTGGGTGTATTTGTATGTAAGGCTTGAATTTTTGTATTTTCTTGAAACTTAGCTAACAAGTGATCACAAAGAGAGATCAGTGCTAATTACATATGCGTGATGCATAACTATAAGAAAAAATTATAATAATGAATTTCACTTACAATGAATAGTAAAGTCATAATTCATATTTGCATTAATAGGTTTTAAGTATTCGACTCCAAGTGAAAAAATAAAATAAGGAGTAAATTTGGGCCATCACAGCAACTAAATTTGAGTTATTCTTACACTAGTTGTATGTTGTCAAGCTTAACATCACGTTAGAAGGACAATATAAATTTAATTTATAAACATCTTTGAAATCAGGGCGAAAACTACACACACACACGCGCGTGCGCACACACACGCGCGCGCACACACACACACACACACACACACACACACACACACACACACACACATATATATATATATATATATATATATATATATATATCAGATGTAACAACAAAATTGTCCAAATCGTGTAACAGCAAAATTGTCCATTTGTTAAATTAAGCTTTGAACCATTGTATCTTACAAATGATTAAAGATATCTTACTGATATTCTCCGAGGTTTTTATAACACTACTGGACTCTATTTTTAGCAATAATAAGGTATAATTATTCTCCAAGCTTGACAGAATAATCATGATGAAATCAATCATAAACAAAAATGACATATTCATCATTAATTAATCATAGCTAAGAATCGGAAGCTCATGAAGGATTGAAATAAATTTCATATATATATATATATATATATATATATATATATATATATATATATATTATTCCAGGATCATTTTCAAGATGATCTTCGCCCTCTCTAATCTTCTAACTTTTTTTCCTGGAATAACAAAGTGCCTCACACGTTTACACGTACAATTTCATTTTTTTTTCACTGCTCTTGGCACTGTCATAACTGAAACTCCTCTCTCACGAGCCAAACGTCTTATGGATTGAGTTGAATCTTTTCTAATTTATCTCTTTAGCTCTAAGTTAAAATAATGATCCCTCTTCCTGTAGAGACCACCTAATCCAGTTTTCCTCTCTACTGTTCCTATTTTTTTAACTTCTTCCCCGTTCACTTGATGGTTCTTGAGTGGACTTTGAAGATGGAAGCCAGAGTATGAATGTTGGTACCATTACTGAAGGCCGGAATGATCTTTCAGTGGGTGTGACACAAAACGATTTTAACCTGTTCTCTTTTTAGCGGAATAACTCAAAGGATTTTTCAATGATTCTTACGACAAATGGTATCAAGTTGGCTAAACGTCTTATGTGAAAACCTGGGGGAAAGAAACTGAGTTAGTTTAGTGGTTTTTTTAGATATTAAACATTTTGTGGGATGGATAATTATGGTGTGACACGATTTGGGCAATTTTGCTGTTACATCCGATATATATATATATATATATATATATATATATATATATATATATATATATATATATGGCGGGTGTATAATGCACCAGATATGTAAGAGTAAACCTTTAGCAGACTATAAATGGAAGCTACCCTAACGTCATTTTATACGACATTCACCAAATTTTAACATTCTCATTTTTTTTCCGATGTATTGAAAGTATTAAGATGTCAGATTTTTCTTTTCATACAGAGAATGGTATACGGCGCTCGAGTCCCTAGATGCCAACAACACTTGCTCAAAGATAACCAGCTTCTTGAAAGTTTCGAAGTGAAGAAAAGAAGTGACGGAGAGGTAACTACAGTAATGATAGTAATGTTCACGTCGTTTCAGACGGTATTGTGGAACGTAAGAAGTAAGGGTTATGTCAGGCCCACTTCCTTTTGTAGAGTAATAGGTTCAATGCCGTCTCCTGCGTACAGGAGCCAAGTCTTGTATCGGGAGGATGGCCGTACCTAGCCCAAGGGTGGCTAACTGAGACTTTTTACGATCATATCATCCCTAATATGATTTGAATCACATGAGTAACTAAGTCTGGGCTGTCGTCGATAGGGTGACCAATTAACGATCCAACAATGTCAAAGACATGTTGATGTCCGCCGCCGCAGGCGTGATGGTCAACATGAACGATAACCACATGATTCGGACCTGTAGTCGCTTTTAACATATTTAAAAATATACTGATTTTTTCTAGTGAATTTTTGTTTTTCTTTATATTAAATTTGTTCAAATTACATACACAATTACTGTGCGTCTGCCTGTGTGCATTTAAGTATGTGTGCGTGTGTATACATGCAGATGGAAATCTTTCTGTAATTATTGAATAAATTATATTTATGGAATTAATATATATTTATTCGTTTTTAAAGTGTTTTGCTCAGTTAACTACGCACCTAAATAATGAAGAATTTTAAATTTCACTAATATTATAAAATTTCAGTCTTAGAAATTTTAAATTTTAAATATAATGTGTCATATTTGAAACCTAACGGATGATTTAGGCTTCAATTGACACTTTCTGGCTGTTAGTCTTCTACTCTGTCATTATGCCATCATTTCTTGAGATGAAGCTCAAGCCAGTGTATTCGGAGAATAAAATTAACTTCTCAATTTCGTCTTGAGCTGTAGAAAGTATAACAATTCCTCTTGCCGTATTATTGCATATCTTTCGTTTGCTTTTGAGCTTTTACACAAATTGAATGAATTTTCGTAAACCAAAACGTAAAATTAGATTTTGATTCGTTCATTAGATTCTAACTTTTAACACTCTTATCTACACATTTAAAAAGCACAGTATTTTTGTGCTTCGACTGCATGAATTTAAGCGTATTACTAGACTGGCAATTAGGTCTCACCGTTTTACTGTTGAAATATCTAGGTGCAAATATATGTTCTATTCTAATAGTTTCTTTTCTCGCCTGTGGAACTTCCTTCCGATTTTTTGCTCCCCTGCCACCTACAATCTTCAAAATTTAAATGCAACGCTAATCTACATCTCCTGTCTTCTTGATCCTGTCCTTTTAGTATACCTTCTTTTCACTTCTCCTCCTCACATCTTCTCATTCTCTGTAACCTGTAACTCTTTTCTTAAAATGATTAAAAAATAGAAATCTCTGGTATTGGAAACTGGTTCTGATACACGGTGATTATTTGTGCTTTATGATTTTACAAGAATAATAAAATATTAAAAAATAGGAAGAATATTGTTTTCTTGTTGTCTTCAATGTACCTATCAATATCTACCAAATTAATCACTTTTTATTCCATTCGATAAAATATAATTTTTAGAGCAGAATAAATGTCTTACTTTTTATGCGATGAACATTGTAGAAAAATAAAAACGAAAGACAATATCAGATTCAAATTTATATTTCTAATACCTTCGAGTAGAAAGTGCAGTTCATGTTTTTGAATGAGTCACGGCTATCTTAGTCACCCTGTAGCAAGCAAAAAATGGCAGTTTAAAGGTCAGCTTTCAAGTCATAATGCATAATTATATAAGATGATTCCGATAAATTGAGGACCAACATAAAAATTATCAAGAAACCAGTATCCCATAGTTTTATGAAATAGGAAATTTGAAAGTTCACTGTCCATAATTTGAACCTAATGTAACTGTTTTATTTTTTAAACAAAAGTGTAAAGGGAAATTTATTCACATGCCAATCTCTCTGCAACTACTAAATATACTTAGATACGCTCAGCATACTGAAAAACGAAAATGAGAATGAGTACAATAAAGAGAGAGAGAGAGGAAGCGAGAGAAGACGAAGAGGTTGTGAAGGCGGAGAAGGAGGGTAGTAATAATAAAAGAGAGAAAAGTAAAACGAAAAATAGGAGGTGGCTGAGGTAACGAGGAGAGAGAGAGAGAGAGAGAGAGAGAGAGATAGAGAGGGAGAGGGAGAGAGAGAGAGAGGGGGCGAAACCGATTTGTAACCAGCGACTAGACATCAGTGATGACGACTCATTCGAATGAATGGTGAATGGCCCGGTGAATCATAAGCAACGAATTTTCTCCACCTTTTCCTCCCCATTTCACGATCGTAACTCTCGTTTTCTCCCGCCCTTCACACCCTACACTCATCCTTACGTACATATTTCTTTCGTCTCTCACAGTGAAGCGACTATGACCATGTGCTCACCAGTATATATGCTCTTACATTTATTTATGATGCTGTATGTACGTATGTGTGGGTGTATGCATGTATGTATATGTGTGTGTATGCGTATGCATATGCGCGCGCGTCTGATACGTCATGTATTAGCACTTGTTGGGGTAATCATTACTGACATATCTTTGAAAATATATGCGAGTCTTAAGAGGTTGCCCACCTACACCGGCCTGCGTGTGTGCACGAATGCATAGATATCTGTACACGTACAGTTTATAAATGTTTTTTGTGTATTCATGCGTATTGACACAAAATCTCTGTTTAAATGTTATAATCAGTGTAAGAGTAAAGTTTCGCATCTTACGAGCTTTTTTTTAAAAATATAACTGAGTGCATAGGTGTAAAGTTACAACACTGTAATAATATATTCATTTCTCTCTTTATGTACCCGTTGCAGACGGTCTTATGAGGTGGGTGCGTGTCTCTCCGTTCATTTCTCTCTTTATGTACCCGTTGCAGACGGTCTTATGAGGTGGGTGTGTGTGTCTCTCCGTTCATTTCTCTCTTTATGTACCCGTTGCAGACGGTCTTATGAGGTGGGTGCGTGTGTCTCTCCGTTCATTTCTCTCTTTATGTACCCGTTGCAGACGGTCTTATGAGGTGGGTGCGTGTGTCTCTCCGTTCATTTCTCTCTTTATGTACCCGTTGCAGACGGTCTTATGAGGTGGGTGCGTGTGCCTCTCCGTTCATTTCTCTCTTTATGTACCCGTTGCAGACGGTCTTATGAGGTCGCGTGTGTCTCTCCGTTCATTTCTCTCTTTATGTACCCGTTGCAGACGGTCTTATGAGGTGGGGCGTGTGTCTCCGTTCATTTCTCTCTTTATGCCCGTGCAGACGGTGTCTCCTCTCCGTTCATTTCTCTCTTTATGTACCCGTTGCAGACGGTCTTATGAGGTGGGTGCGTGTGCCTCTCCGTTCATTTCTCTCTTTATGTACCCGTTGCAGACGGTCTTATGAGGTGGGTGCGTGTGCCTCTCCGTTCATTTCTCTTTATGTACCCGTTGCAGACGGTCTTATGAGGTGGGTGCCTGTGTCTCTCCGTTCATTTCTCTCTTTATGTACCCGTTGCAGACGGTCTTATGAGGTGGGCGCGTGTGTCTCTCCGTTCATTTCTCTCTTTATGTACCCGTTGCAGACGGTCTTATGAGGTGGGCGCGTGTGTCTCTCCGTTCATTTCTCTCTTTATGTACCCGTTGCAGACGGTCTTATGAGGTGGGCGCGTGTGTCTCTCCGTTCATTTCTCTCTTTATGTACCCGTTGCAGACGGTCTTATGAGGTGGGCGCGTGTGTCTCTCCGTTCATTTCTCTCTTTATGTACCCGTTGCAGACGGTCTTATGAGGTGGGCGCGTGTGTCTCTCCGTTCATTTCTCTCTTTATGTACCCGTTGCAGACGGTCTTATGAGGTGGGCGCGTGTGTCTCTCCGTTCATTTCTCTCTTTATGTACCCGTTGCAGACGGTCTTATGAGGTGGGCGCGTGTGTCTCTCCCTTCATTTCTCTCTTTATGTACCCGTTGCAGACGGTCTTATGAGGTGGGCGCGTGTGTCTCTCCGTTCATTTCTCTCTTTATGTACCCGTTGCAGACGGTCTTATGAGGTGGGCGCGTGTCTCTCCGTTCATTTCTCTCTTTATGTACCCGCTGCAGACGGTTTGAGGTGGGCGCGTCTGTCTCTCCGTTCATTTCTCTCTTTATGTACCCGTTGCAGACGGTCTTATGAGGTGGGCGCGTGTGTCTCTCCGTTCATTTCTCTCTTTATGTACCCGTTGCAGACGGTCTTATGAGGTGGGCGCGTGTGTCTCTCCGTTCATTTCTCTCTTTATGTACCCGTTGCAGACGGTCTTATGAGGTGGGGCGCGTGTGTCTCTCCGTTCATTTCTCTCTTTATGTACCCGTTGCAGACGGTCTTATGAGGTGGGCGCGTGTCTCTCCGTTCATTTCTCTTTATGTACCCGTTGCAGACGGTCTTATGAGGTGAACGCGTGTGTCTCTCCTTCATTTGCTCTCTTTACGCGTGTGTCTCTCCCTTCATTTCTCTTGCAGACGGTCTTATGAGGTGGGCGCGTGTGTCTCTCCCTTCATTTCTCATTATGTGGACGGTCTTGTGTGTCTCCGTTCATTTCTCTCTTTATGTACCCGTTGCAGACGGTCTTATGAGGTGGACGCGTGTGTCTCTCCGTTCATTTCTCTCTTTATGTACCCGTTGCAGACGGTCTTATGAGGTGGGTGCGTGTGTCTCTCCTTTCATTTCTCTCTTTATGTACCCGTTGCAGACAGTCTTATGAGGTGGGTGCGTGTGTCTCTCCGTGGGTGTATGATCGCGAGTCTGTTCTTGAAATATATTCTAGTTTCTTGTAAGTATGCGCATATGTATGTGTATATATATATATATATATATATATATATATATATATATATATATATATATATATATATATATATAAGCTAATGGATGTGTGTTATTTTATATAGATTTAATGATGTAGGAATACGCCATATTTAAATACGAAAATATAAAAAAAATGTGAAAAGGGAAAGGAAGAGATGTCTTATAAAGATTGTATATAATAAATATGTTAAAGACTGTATATATGTATAAATATGGTGGCAGTGAAAAAATGCTCTGCCAATAACTCATTGATACATCCAAATTTTTAAAATGAGATGTGCTTTCTGCTCCATAAGCGAAAATTGCACAAACCTTTGCAAATCAACTATGTCGCGTGAATACTTCCAGTTTTCATCGAAATGACCAAAACTGTTGTCAGTGTTAAAAAAGAAAAATATATATATATATATATCACCTCACCTCCATTGTAATGCTGGTCTCTCGGCAACCAAATAAAACACTCTCCCCTACTTTTTCTTGAAAAATATTATTCAGTAACAATATTTCTAACATGTCTTTTAATAGTGCATCTAACGAAAAACATTTTGCCTCAGATCTTTGAAGCAACTAGAAACCAGAGAAAAACTAAATAGCATTATTTGAAAGTGGAAAATCAAACCCCCCAAAAAAAAAAACACAAGGAAGCTAATGATTTTGATTGCCCATCGATCAAGAACTCAAATTACATGCATTCAATGTGAGATGAAAAAGAAACATAAGGAATTGAATGTGAATTTAGTAGAGATAGTGTTTACAAACAATCTTCAGATGGTTTGGAGGACAAATCTTTATTGTTACTGTTTGCATCTCCACCTTTGGTGACATATGCTAGTGAATCAATGAGAAATGGTGGGAGACTGGAAATAGAAGGAGGTTGGAATACTTGAGTTAGGTGTCAAGTGATTGTATACTGGTTAAACAAGATTTGTTGATGGAAATAGCGTTGAAAGAAAAAAGAACAAGGAGGAGGAAGCAAAAATCAACAAAACAGTCATTACCCCAAACAATAAGATGGAAATATACTTTAACCTTTAGCTCTCTTTTTCTCATCTCCCAGTCACATTGTCACATAATGTTTCCTTACTGTGCACATTGTTTTTCTTTATTTCCCTTTGTATATTAGTTAGAATATAGCTTTATTTTGCCCAATCAGTTCGTTTTCGTATTTTTATCTATTATTTTAATAGATTAACTGACTTTCTTTTGTGCGATGTCATCTGTTTTTGTTTGAACTACCCTGACAAGAATACCTCTCAACTGTTTTTTTTGGTTTTGCTTTTCTTATATTTTTTGATATTTCATAATATCAGCAAATTCATAATATTTACTAAATAATTTCATTACACGAAATGAAAATGTTTCTACAACTTCTATATCTATAAGAAAAATGCATTTAGATGCCTAGCTACGTAGGCAAAGAGTTTTTTCAGTGTGTCTTAATCTTAGTTTTATTTTAAAATTCAGACTTACTCTGCATTTGATTTTATTGTTTTCACAATAAAACTTATGTTAACAAACCTATCGAAGTAAATTTTTCAATATATGCTTCTGCATATTAATTTCTTCTTAAATTTTTCATACCATGTCAATTTACGTAAGCGATCATCGGCATTCATAGATTCCTTTTCTTTATTATCTGTGAATGGCCATGACTTCTTGGAAAAGATATTGGAGATATATCTGTTACCGTTTCCATGTTTTTTTAACATACACCATTAGACTTGTTTCTCGGGAGTCCAGTCTACACTGTTATTTAACCTATAGCTGAGAGAGGAGAAATAAAATATTTATTAGTGCGAAGTAAACGCAACAGATTAGGCCAGAAGTTGGCTCGCGAATTCCAGTTTTGGCAGCGATAACCTTAACGTTATTCGCATACGCTATATTATAATATGTTTTGATTAGAAATATTTACAATAACTTATTTGGTGTTGTGAGATTCTATAGGGTAGCCACTAAAAAACTGAAGGGTTTGAAAAGGTTATAACTTGTTCGTTTGCAATCTTTTCTTATTTTCCTTTTTTGTAGGTTATAGAGCATCCCTTGGAAATTAAAATGGCGACGTATGTTCAGCCACGAGTAAAAACTCATTGTTTTTCTATTCCCGTGAAATATCAAAACTCAGAGAAAATACGGGCAACATTTTAATGTCAAGTTTCTAATGGTTCAAACTTTACTACCTCAAGGTAATCATGTGTTTGTAAAAGATAATTTTGTTTTATATCATTCAGTCTTTCAGTATCCACCCTTATGCAATTTGAGAGTTGTTCATCATATTGTAAATAAATATCTTTAATACTATAGTTATTGATATTTATTTTTTAATCTCAGATATATAGAAATTGTCGTGGGCCGTAAAAAAAATATTATGTGAAATTGTAAAACTGTCAAG